TGTATGTATTATAGTCGGAGTAATACTATTAAATAGGGCACCCCTTCAAAAGCTCGACTGCACAGTGCAAACACCACCGCATGCGTTGTCTTGTTGAAATTTGACACCACGATGAACACTTTTTGCAGGTTTTTGCAATTCGACGGGCCTAATATTGCGTTGGAAAGTATAACACAGTTTTAATTGCAAATCATCATACCGCCGCTTTCTACACTGAACCAAACGCCGTGCAATTGTCGAAATGGAAAAACGTCCATCGAAGTCACCCTGGTGTCAAGCTCGCTTGCAACTTGCGATCGGAAGTTCTGGAACAGTGGAAGATCTGCAATTAACTCCCACTTCAACTTCAAGGGGAGCCTCCTTGGCGGCCTTCCTTCAACCAAACTCTGTATCAGGATTGGGAATTTGCATTTTGCCCCACTGCCTGTGCACCAATCTGCAGAACCAGCTGAGGAGTTTGGAACAAGCTGACAAGATGCACAGCGACGGCGCCCATGTGGCAGAGTCGACTCCACGTGATCACAATGCGGAAGATAACCGGCCGCAGAGCTCAGAAGCAGAAAATGTGTCCCAAGAGGAAGAAACAGCACACAACCAAAGGGCACCAGACCCCAAGATAGCACAAGCTTCCCAGAGGATGTTTGACAGTGTGGCAGCATTCCTGAGGGGAGAGCTTTCGTTGACCGGCCAAGAATGCACTCTGCTGGCAGCTATGAATGAACGAGCTGCAGCAGAGTATGACAAGTTTGGCGACTATGCTGAAGGGCTGTGCGTATTCTTTGAGAGGCTGTCACAGAAGAGCGAGATCCTGAGGGAGTACCTGGCGGATGTTGATGAAATCGACCGGCAGGTCACCGAACTGGAGGCAGTTGCTTCGGCTCTGGATGGATACACCAGTTCGTTAGAAAGCAGGCTGAGAACGGCGAGCGCGCCCCCCTCCCCTTCATGGAGCCTAGGAACTGCCAAGCTGTCCTTTTAGGGAGTCCAGGGTGGTTTCTCTCATTGCTGGCATGCGCCTCTTAAAGCCATCCTTCATTGGGGCAAGTCTGAACCAATGTGCGCCCATCCACTTCCTGGACACGTAAGAACGTTACAGGGCAGTGGTTCACTTGTGCAAAGCAAGGGTATCTGCTGCTCTGCAATTGGACGGATGAAGGGAAGGGGCGGAAGACTGAGGCATGAACTTCGATTTAGAAGGGAGGTGAGCATGATTGGATTGCCTTTACACAGCTTTGACAAAGTGTGGTTGTGATCAGCAAAGGTCTTCAATATGGGTTTATTTGGTGTACAAGTAACGTAGTCACTGGATCCGGTTGCTTGTGTAGACTGACCAGGTACGGTCCAAAAGGAAGGAGTCTGTTGCGAATCTGTCTTGCAAGTCCAAAAGAACTGCCTGCTTTACATGGTTCTTGGAATCGCATACTTTCATCCAACCTTCTCGATCTTTCATTGGTTGCGCTCTGAAGTCCAAGCATCGCTGCACTTTATGCAGGCAGAAAAGGATTGCTGACGCATCTTAGAAAGAACTTGTGGTGCACAATCGAAGTCTGTCTGGTGCATCCGGGCGCAGAGATTAGGACCTTGTGAGAGTGACATGATGGCACCTTCTTAACTAGTTGACACTGTGGCTCTTGAAGAAGCCATAATCCATAAAAATCGTGAAGCTAGGCACCACCAAATAGACGCAACATGATTCCGGCTCTTGAGAAGATTCGGTGATTTACGACAAGACTAGCATGGGCCAGATCATGCAAGCACCTTTTGCCACAGATGTATGATACTGCAAGCCGGCAATAGTTGTGCGCTGCCTAGATGAAGTCATGGAGTTTGTATACGGTCAGTGCCGGGCTGCCATCATTGCATGCCAGGCTAGAGCTTCGCCACAGAGAGCTGCAACTTTGGCCAACTTGACAGGCTCCGGCTCTGCTGCTCATGCAGGGTAAGAGGTTGCAATTCCGGGCGCCCTCGAGTTTGGGTCGACTCTGACATGCTTTCACAGTGCGCCCGTGTGTGATTGCCGCGGCTATACTACATTTCTCATTCAAGCCCACAGTGTTCCACAATGATGACGGATGGCCTTACCTAACGCATGCATCTTATCTATCGAATGGAATCCTGGACGACCTTGTCCCAATCAGGGAGTTACAAGAAAACTTGCCTCACAAGACAGCAGATTAGGCGACACCTCCACTTTACGTAGATGTGTATCGTCTCCTAAGAAGACGTCGCGAGCTTTTCTTGAATCAAGGTCAACAAGGGTCAATACGTTCCCGCTTCCGTTAAGTTGAAGGCCAAGTCGGCTTTGAGACGACCCCTGTTGCAAACCTATGGTGCCATCTTCTAACCGAACGTCCAGATTTGCCTCCGCTCTACGTGAGAAGTTCTCAGGACGGAGGGCCTCCAGTACCGCTCTCCTTGTCAACGGGCTCGCCAAACTGAAGCACCAGATGTCCGAGTTGTTGAAAAAGATCGGATCCCAGCCCACTCCGAAATCCGCAAAAGCCAGACCATAAGACCCGGTCTTTCTCACACACTGGACACACTATAAGGCATACTACGTAGAAATGAAGAAATCATGACCACAGCAATACAATCTGAAGGGTGGAAAAACGGTCCGTTGAAAAGTAGATGAGATAGAAGGCAGGACGGTCCTTCAAGGTGGTTCCTTGTTCCCTCCTCACCTCTTTTGAAAGTCCTTCTCGGTCAACTTGAGGCTAGCTTCAACCACGAACGGCTCTTTCAACCCCCTGACAGAAAGCAAGCCTGATCGGATAAGTCCCCACTGCAAGATCAGAAAGCCAACACTGCAAAATCCAAGAGCAGCAATCGCGGTGTGTTTATTCACGAAAGTTCGGGCATTACTTAGAGAAAGTCGCAGGACGCACGCTCGGGTTGAGAGATTTCAAGCAAGTATGACACGGGACCAGAATGAAGGTGGGGACACTCGAACCGTTTGGAACCAGTCGAGAATGATATTCTGTCGTGAGATGGGGACCTTCCGTCTTTGCCAACTTGCGGGAGGGTCGATTGCAATAAGCTTCTCTTCGGATTTTGTCAAAGCAATGATGACTTCCAAGAGGAAGCCTGATCAAGCAAGTCTTTCTCCTGCCTTTACGTGCTCACTCAAAGAGCGGCCTTCTCGTATCTCGTCTAACCTCTATGTGATCCCGTTTTTTCAGTGTCTTCCTTATTCAGTCTTCAAAAACACGCGGTGTACCGCTCCTTTCGCAAGTTGGAAAACGGATTAAGCTGCGAAGTGTGTTTGGACTAACTTGGTTGCGAAGGACTTTTTGCCACTCCTAGTTCGCCTGACCCTGCAAACGGCTATCGAAACACACGTCGACGCGGTCACAAGACTTCGGAAAAATGGACGACAATATTCGATCTTACCGTTTCTCTCCGTTGAGGGTAACTTTTACTTTCGACGCTGTCAGGCAGGCCTCCGAGACCGACACGCCCTGGGCAGAGACACAACAACAAGATTATTAGAAAGCTTGACGCCTCTGCCTTTTCAAAGTGTCAGTTCAACCGACGACGTCACAACCGACCATCCGTCGAAACACGTGCGTAATGAGGGTGTAAACACTTCGTTTGGTAGCTCTTCCTTCCGCCAGCGTTACATACTGACGGTGACGCTCCGATCGAAACGATGGCCTGCTCAAGACAAGACTCTGAACATTCTTCGCGAAAGTCTGGGGGTCTCCATCAACGCCAAAGAAAATCGGAGGTCTGACCAAAAGGAGAAACAACACAAAGCCGTGAACACTACGAAAGGGAATCGAGAAGAGACATTATGGCCAACACAAAGAAATTCAAACGCTGTTTCGTCGAAACATGGGTTGGCAGGACGGATTACACTGAGACTCTTGTCTTTAGAAGAGCGTTGACAATAAATGAGATTAAAGACCGCGGGAGCAGCGAGTCCTCACCTTGTAAACCGCGTTTTTGGCGGTCACAACCAGGGTTCTGACTGTGCCGGACAGAAGGTCGCGGTTGCGACCAAAGACGAGGACTTGCAGGTCTTCCTCGGCATCCAACTGCAAAGAGGAGTTGACTACATCAGTGGAACCAAAGTGTGAAAGAGTGTTAAAATTTGAGACTTGCCTGGGCTCTCTGGTCAGCCTTGCGTCAGCACTTGTTTGGAGAATGTCAAGAAGCAGGTGTCAAGGGGAAAACAGAGTGAAGAAAGCAGCAAGACTACGTTTGGACTCCTGATGATGACAATCAATCGAGTAAGAAACGTAGATCAAGTGGGGATAGATGCAGCACTGAACAAGCAAAGGACTGTGTCAGACTGCAAAAAGCGCAACGATCCATGTGCCTCCTTTCTGGAACAAAAAGCACCAACGAAGGCACCAAGCAGACGAAACCCAGATAGAATCAAGTTTCTTTTAGAGCATGATTGTGTTCTGTTGAGTACGGATCCTGTCTGAGGGACATGAGTAAGAAATTCTGGTATCCTTGCCTCTGCTGGTCTCCGTTTGAGTGAAGGCGGTGCCTTGTTTACATTAAAGCCCTTCAATGCTTCGGGACTGCACCATGGTGACTCGACTTCCCATGCAACTTCTTCAAGCACGAGGGCAGAGGGAATGACAGAGCTGGCCACTCTTACTCAAGCGTGATAGATCAGAAGGTTGACGAGATGAATTGCACAGAAAAGCTGGACTTCCCGCCAATCTCCACCAACCGCTCAATATTGTTGGTCGAGGCTATTACCCGGGAAGCATCTGGGATGTCAATTGAGGACTTTGAGCTGGAAGTTTGCTGGAGTCTGCTAGAACTCCACATCTCCACCCATCCATTTGAGTGACCTGGAAAACTTTTGCCCTATGGCGTCACGGAACATGCCAATGACACTCTAAAGTTTAGGAACCTCCGAGGTACGAATGATGGTTGTCCAAAAGTCCAACCTGTCAAAAATGATGTTCATTTCTTCTTGGAGGAAGTTGAAACCAGCGCTGACCTGAGTCTTCAGGTACAGCTTCAGTGCTTGGGAGACCAGGAAACCTGTGATACTGCCACTCTTATCCTTGGATTCCTGCTCCACCGAGGACGGGCCCTCCGCCTCCTTGTGAGCAGAGCACCGAACTCCAATCGAATACGTGGGAATCTGCATAGATCCTGAATCAGGGGCTGCATTTATCCCATGTTGGACTAGGATTGGAGGTGGACTTAGCTTCGAAAGAGTGTTCCAAGACAACATGGCTCTTGAGGCATGCAACATGACTCTGTCAGGGCAACCAGTCAGAAACACCCGAGAAGCTCCTTGGGCAAAGAAGTGACTAAACACTTCTTGTCAAACATTTGGGATGTCAATTACAGACCTTTCGCGTTCAGGTGCTCAAACCCTCTGCCAGAGAAAAGGTCCTTCTGTGGCATCCATTTGCTGATCCAAAAATTCTATAAGGACATTCAATTTTCCCACTCAGATTCTGGCAATGTCAATGTCAATTTGAGCCTGATTCTGATGAATTCTTGCGAACCGTCACCCACAGACATCACCATTGCTTATCACAACCTCCTTATCACCACCATAGGCGGAGTAAGAGCTTGAAAACTTTGGAAGAACAATACAGAAGGAGAGCTTTAAAAAATGCACAACCATGCAAGTTTTCTCACCTGCATGTTGCCACAAGACCACGTGTTTGACAAGACTGGACATGCATCGTTAAGCTCCTTCTGCCGCCCAATTTTCTTCATTGGCAAGCATTGTCTGACTGGCATTGAAGCTCTGCAAAGCACTGGGGGGCTGCTACATCTCGCTTTGTGTGGGTATGTTTTGTAAAGATCTTGTGTGACGCTTATGTCCCGGGCAAGTAAAGCTTGATTACAGATTATCACACCCGAGCAACAAGGACTTGTGCACGCCCCCATGTTTTGCAGCATTTCTTTACGGGCGTCTCGACAGCAGCTGGTTAGCAAGTCAATGGCACTGCTTTTGAATAGGAAAACTTATTGCGAATACCTCCTTCAGAATCTTTCCTTTGTATTAGCCTAATTAGGCTGCCTATGCCAATGGTAGCCATGCAATGGCCAGAATTTGCAGGCGCTCTGGTTCGCCACCGGCACAGGAGTCTCAATTCTTTGGGATGCATTTTCTGCCACCCTTCCTTGACACCACCCGGTGACAACTTCTCCTGTAACTGAAAGCGTGAGCGTCCGAGGCTGTCAATGGTGTCAATTCATGGGGGGATGCAAATGCAAAGCAGAAACAAATGTTTCGGAAGAGCAAGCTGACCACTCCTCAGACGCAAAGTGCAGAGCCTGTAGACGTCATCTAGTAGTACATCGACTTTCTGCTGTGCGCAGGATCATGGTGGAGGGGGCCGGGGCGCTGATGCGCGTCTGATATGCTGCTAGTAAGTCTTTGTATGTCATTGCAGTTGACTTCCTGGGGCGAGAGTCCTGTGCTATGATCGGATTTCCCTTTCTTGGAAGTTCTTTGAATATTCGTTCAAAGGCGTAAATACATTCTGTCAGCAGAAATGGCAGGTAGCTTCGCAACGTGCGTCCGCCCTCTTCTTTTATCGAACCCTGCAGCATTCTTCTGTAGTGGAAAAGCATGCTCAGAGTCTTCCCCTACTTTCAGCTGCCCAGGGACTTTCTTGGCACGGCATCAGCCGTCCGCAATGAAGTACAGCTCCTGTCTGAAGACCAGCAAAGATCCCTGCAGGACTTTGTTGCGTTTACAAAGGGTTGAGACCTTTTCGCTCAATACAAACTTCTCAGATTCAAGGGGGGGCAGAAAATTTTGCAGCACTAGGTTACATGCGCTTGAAGACGAGGATAGGGACAACTCTGAACAGGAAAAGAGGGAAGACCGATCAGGTCCTTTGGGTGAAACAAGAAGTGTGTCGACAGGTGAATCCTTAGCAGAGGAGGATCTTGGGGAGGTCTCTGAGCGTTGGGACGGGAATGAAAGTGAAGCTGGGGGAAGCACTTCCAGCAGCGGAGTGAATGCTAAGGCCCAGGGGATTTCTTTAGAAAGACCAGAAGAGACGGTGGGACCTTCGGACTCCAGCACAAGCGGTGCGGAGGCGAATGCTGAGGGGACCTCTGGTGAGGAGGCGCAGACGCAGCGTGTTCTCGACATTCTGCATCGCAGAAAGGAACAGCCAGCTCGTGATCAGGGGCCAAGCTTGCGTGAGCGTTTTGGAGGATTCAGGGTTTCGGGGCCGCAGGTGCCCCTCACGTTGCAACCCCTGAAATTGAAGAAGGGGGACGAGGGGCCGGCAGAGGCGTCCAAAGAGTCGACAAAGATTCCTGAGAGCAACATAGAATTAAAGGAGTCAGCGCAAAATGCTGAGGGCAACGAGGAACCTGAGGTTGTCAAATTGGATGTAAGCCAAGAGTCTGTTTCTTCATTGGAAGATTCACAGTCAGCTGCGGAAGATTTAGAGGACGCTAGACTATCAACCAGTGGGGAGAATGCTGCCCCTGAAAGTACTGCTGAGCTCAGTCCAGACGTTCCAGAGGTCAGCGACTCTAAGGCCCCCAATGAGGAGGACTCTAACGAGAAGGGGGAGAAAAAGAAGAAGCCGGTAGTGATTCCGCCGGGGCCTTCAGTGGCAGAAATTCCCATCCCCCCGCGCACCGATGAGGACGAGCGATTGATCGCCGTGTTTGAGAAAAAGTTGAACGCCGATTGGAAGGTGGACGGTGTGGAAAGCGAGCTCGGACTGTATATTGCCAAAGTGAAGGCGCTCGAGAGCTTTCAGTCGGAGCTGGCGCGTCCGGATGATGACATCGACCTTGTGCGGGCGGCGGCCTTGATTGCGCAACACGCGTGAGTCTTTTGTTGAACTATTGCCTTAACAAACATGCGCAGTGCGCAAAGAAGTTTGCCCTGCCGTTTTGAGATTAAGAAACTTGGTCGTAAATGCGTCAGCATCCAAGCAATTAGTGACGTTTCTATGGTGAGATCAGCAGGACATGGATTGGTCCACTGCTTTAAGTGTTGTCGGGGGGTACAGTTCCTTGAGTTCCACACAAACAGGAACAGATTTGCAACTTTGCAGACGAAACGGCATCCTGTTAAGAATCAACCTAGCTTTCTGGAACAAAAGCCGCTTTGTATAAGTCGAAACTCGAGAACCTCAAATGGATCAGAGTTCCGCTGTTTTCACAGGTACCCCGAGGCGTCTCCCGAAGCGTGCGACGCGGAGCTGCGGCTCATGGCCGAGGATTTGACGCACGAGCTGCCGCCCCCGGCGGAACGTTACCCGTTGCGCATGATTGCGGCCATCAACAAGTTTCTGTATGAGCAGCGCGACTTCAAAAAGAACAGCGGGCAAAACGCCGACGAGATGCTGTCCCTCAACAACGTCCTGAAATGCAAAACGGGTGAGCCTACGAAGTCGTAATGTGGGTCCAGAGCTCATGTTTCGTTGCAGGTGTTGGACATGCGAAGGATTCCAAGAGGTGCCGGTTACTGGTGAGGTTAACTTACTGCTACTGTAACCTGCTGAGCATATCTTTTGATCTGGTCAATAGAACGGGCGAGCTTACTGTCGAGGCAAATGCGTGGACATGTGGTTGAAATTGATCAAAAAACAAGCAGCTTGAAATACATTGGAAGCAGTGCACGATGGCGTCACACACGAGCGCAGGCGTTTTGCAACAGTCTGGGTTGCTTTTCTTCCGGACAATGCAGGCCTTTTAGCAACCGCCTACTTAACGTGCTCCGTGTGAAAGGAATCCTGGTTCGACAATAGTACAGTCCTTCTCGGATTCTTTCTAGATATCCTGCTTCTTCTAGTCATGGTGATGAGCTCACGTTGTCCTCGAGGAAAGTCTCTTCTCGACACTTACTTCCTAAGAAGATGTAGAAATCTGGCGTTGAGAAAGAGATGGTACAGAACGCCCTTCTTTCTTTGGACGGTCGCTCTTTCACGTCGTTCTCATGTCATATTTGTTTTTCATGTTGCAGTTGTCCCTTCTGCGAGGGGACTCCACCTTTTGTGCTCGTTTGCTCGCTGTGAATCTGGCGCCCAAATAGGTCTGGTCGTTTTTGTAACGAACTTGAGCCACCACAGACAGAGTATCAGGGTTTGCAAAACAGAACACCATTGCTAAGCCAAAATGGGAACAGGATGAAACAAGACCAATGGTCAATCCTGAAAAGAAGAAGTACCTCCTCTCCTGAAAATCCCCCCCCTCTTTGCAGGCGACCGTATCTTATTGAGCCTGATCTACCTGGAGCTCGCGCGCCGCGTGGGCTTCCCCATGCAGACCTACACCTTGGCGGGGGTCTATTTTGTCGTCCGACCCCTGGCTGCGGACAGCACGTTCTATGTGGACGCCTCGGACAAGGGAAAGGTGAGCGCAGTTTCCTTTGCCGTCTATCTTGTGATACTTGAACTTTTTCTGAGACTTGATTATACTGCGGAATCTGACACATGTGTTCGAAGGTTACCCTCCATCTCAAGCTACACATTGTCAAGCTTCGTCTCCGCCTCTGATATCCGTTCCGCAGTGTCCACGGTCGATCAGGGTGCTGAGCCGACGTGAGCGCTAGGGTTGTGGGGCTGACTTCTCCCTAAAATTATCCAGAAATGTTCCTTGATGAGACCGTACACCGAATCCGCTCTGGATTCGAGCTAGCGAGTCACCATGTGAACAAGGCCGCTGCTGCCTAGCTCGTTCTGAGTAGATCGTGGAACCCTGATCAAATGCGCGTATTGTCATAACCTTGTGCATACAACCTTCCTGGCCGATGCCCAGACCTTTCTGTGGAGGAACTCTTCTGCCGTGGTCTCGATTTCTGCAGGCCTAACCCCGATAAACCTATTTCGCCGTCTGCTCGGCCCACATCGTCAGAATCTTGAGCGCTATTCTCCAGGAAACCCCTGTGCTGCAGACTACGAAATCCGTGTGTGCAGATCGGTTGCCTGAGGGACGTTTGGGGCATGCTCTTGAAAGTTTTGTGCTCCTCGTTGCCGTTGAACCCCGATTTTATTCATGTCACTCCCAACATCGTCGTCATCTGGCTAGCGAACATTGCCCAAAGCCTAGGCCTGTGACCTCATACTCCTTGCGAATCTTCAAACCCGTGGGTTCGTGGAACCTTCCCGAAAGGTTTGTGTTCAACTAACGTCCCTGGCAGCCCATGCTCACGGATTTCCTCGCCTCGATTACACTTTCTCAAGTACGTCTCTGCTTTCGTCACTTCATACCCCAAACTCTTCCCAAACCCAAAAATTTTAGAATCTAAGTATTTTAAATCTCGCTCGTGTGCAGTTGATGTTCCTAGCGGACGTCCAGGCCAAGCTCCGCAAGATCTTCTTCGCGTCGATCACCGTCTACCCCGACTACTTCGAACGGAAGGAGCCCATCTCGAAGCGCGAATTTCTGGTGCACATCCTGACGACCCTCAAGCACGACTACCTGGAGAAGCGCAACTTCGTGCGCTGCCTCGCGGTCATCGAGTACCTGAAAGTCGCGCGGAAGGGCCCGGAGGGCGCCTCCGAGCTGCGGGACGCGGGGGTGTGTCTCTTCTCGCTGCGGCGCATCCCGGAGGCGACGTCCAGCCTGGAGCAGTACTTGGCGGTAAGTCACCAGATACCCAGTCAGAGAAATGGAAGGCTTTTGGTTTGTTCGATAGAAGCAATGCCGCATCGCTTATACTCAAACATGTAGAATCCGGCTTTTGATACAGCTATTGCAAGTTATAACTGGTCGTTTTGGGTTGTTTGAAGGGCCTCGATAGGAAGGGCCTTTCTTGCCTCTGCCCAGGCGGTTCAAGCGTAAGCCAAGGCAACTAGAGAATAGCGCCTTGAGATTGTCACAACGTTCTGATGGGCTATCCACGCTCTTGTCCAGATTGGCCACCTGATTGGCCGGCACGATCAACAGCGCGATCAGGAGATGCTCATGAGTTAATTTGCATTCTTGTTGTTGAAAACCTCCGCCTGAAGAGGATCGAAGACGGCATGCTGGCCTTCTGGCCTTGCTACTCTTCACTTACGTTCTTGACTAGTGCCAAGCAATGACCTCGAAGTCCAGATTTGCAATCTAATAGGTGGCCGGGACACTCTCAAGTAGCTGTCCTGCTTTGCCGAGGGTTCAAGGTTTATTATGTTGCTCTTTGTGCTCCGCAGATCGTCCCGAATGCTCCGGACGCAACATACGTGCGGGAGTGGTTGCGAAAGATCAGGGAGGGGCGGATGGGTGGGTCAGAATGAAAACGTGTTGCACGAGGTATCCTCGCAAGTGTTACTTTTAGCAAATGTACATACCAGCAGCTATTGAATTGCTCGCAGGCATCTCTGTGTGAATCTCTCATAGACAGATACGCTTTTGAGAAACCCACAGAATCATGTAGATAAGTTTGGCATGTTGACGGTGCCGTACTGGGCTAGTTCATCGAGCACCTACTCTTTGTGCACCGCCATCACTTAAGTCATGAGTTGGCTGGCAGACCTGAAACGAATTGGCGGCCCGGCCGCTGACTCTGTGCATCAATCATTGAGTCAGTTGAAATGAAGTCAATGCATGATGGGCGACTTCATCGTACCTGGGCGTGACTGGGCTTGACGCCAGGCAGCTCAGCATATGTAGCGCGGTGCGTTGATTCTCTATTCGAGTCGGAGTCCCATATGGACATGTGCTAGCGTCACTGCATGTGAAGTCGCCGTCGATCATTCACGCATGTGCACTGTGTATACAACATTGCCGCCGGCGCTCTACCGGGTAGACTTACTCTGATATGCTTTTCTCGTGGATCGTATGTCGACTCATACATAGGTATGCTAGCGATTCGCAATGCTGCGCCCCTGACGGTCATCGACTTTGTCGCACATACATATTCCAGGTGACTTTTCTGGCCCTTCTATTTAGATTCAGATATCGTTCTCAATTGCAGACATATTTGTGGCAATTGGGCCATGCATGCGCTCCTGGCCTACAACTTTTATCTCTATACTTTTGTCAGGCCTCGTTCAATACAAACATCTAGATTGCACAACCAGCAAAACATATTTTGAAGAGTGCGGCTTCCGACGGCACAGGACTTTACCAAGTGCAAATAAAAAAACGACGAAGCTACAACGGAGTCAGAACCGATTGTTGCTCGGGATTCGTTGCATGCCTTGAGTTGAGGCGTTTGAGCCTGCTTTCCTTCTGCGATATACCATGACTGGTGCTGCGACTGTCAGGACAAGTGCCACAATCGTCTGCAGATGTAAAGAAAGAGTCAGTTTCGAGGGCAACTGTTTTGAGGAGACATGTCACAGTTGCAGTATGTTCGCTGGGACTTTGTAACCTTCGTATTCATGCAAAGCTGGGACTTTGTAACCTTCGTAATCATGCAAAGCTCAATTCTAAAAACTCCGTTTGAATTTTACATATCACAGAACGACAGAGCTCTGCGACCTAAAACCCTTTCGCCTTTTGTGTCCGAATAACGATGAGACATGACATGATTGCAAACTTGGCTCACAAGAGACGGTTCAGACGCTCAGTAACAAAAAGGAAGTGGTACCAGGAACAGGCCGACACAAGACGGCATTTCGGCGCACAGCCACAGAAGCGTGAAGGCGAGCATTGCATACCGATCGACCGATCAACACAGATGGCCAGTTCGTGCGACGAGTCGGCTGTACCTCGAGGGCGAGGATGAACACCGTACTTAGCACAAAGCTCACCTCAAATCCTAGGACTGTCAGACCCTCATTTTGCCCCTCTGGCCAGCATGCCTGCAAGGTCGAGGTGACCCCGTCCCCCCCCCCAATTTGCAGCAGCTTCTTGCTTGCGCCCTCCCCCCTGCTACCTCTGTCCTCCATCCCATCCGATTCTTCCGAATTTTGCTGCTCAGAAGAATCATCCCCGAGCCTCCTTGGATCTGTGAGGTTGACTTTCGGAGCCGGAGGGCACTCAACCGCTTGTCGGTACCCTGACTCGTCGCAGACTGCAACTGTGGCCTGCAGATATGTGCAGGTTTCTACGAGAGCACTTTGTTGGACAGCGAGGCTTTAATTCGCACTCGATGCGAAAAACGTACATATGCTAGAATTTTTTTGACCTGCAGTTGCAATGGAAGGAGAGGGCTTTTCCAACTGCGCCACTCAGAGCTGCGGATTGGCCCGGAGTTCCTGTGATCAAGTAGAGGCACCAATCTGATGGCCTTCCTCCATGTGGTGTAATGAGACATGCTCTCCACATGCACGGTCCTTAAAGACACAGCCTACTCACCTTCTCAGTGGCTGTGCAAGGAAGGCAAGGACCAACGACTCTGCAATCGCCGCTGCCTGACAAACTTTCAGTGCCGATGCTTCCGGCTGCTAGCGTTCTTCTGAAGACAAAAGATCTGCAGACGAGAGCGGGCCCGTTTAAGCAGGAGAAAAGTGATTCCTGTAAGAAAGCGGTGAAGGTCGATTCCAGCTCCACGCTTGACAAAATAATCGTAAGTGCGGCCATATATACTGGTCCAGGGGTGTCAATGGCATCTGAGGACTTTTGCCAGGAAGTCATGCTCAAAAGTGCTCCTTCCACTTCTCATCATTGTGCGCAGATCATTTGCACTTGTACAACGTTGATCCTGTATTAGACCAGAAAGTTCGAGTGCATTGTTCTACTCAGACTGTGACTACAACATAGTGTGCATGTGATACAAGGCAGAAGAGTACAAGGGAGGAATTCATGTCGCATTCTCACCTTTGTGACGAAGCACCCTCAGCCGCCGTACAGCAGAGAAGCATCAAAGCCAATGCCACCGTTATTGAACATGGCCACTGGGCCATGCTTTTTAGATCAATAGTATCTTGCACTCCTGGGGCGATACGAGCTGGTCAAGCTGCGGCCTTACGACGTCTATTGAATGGCAGAATGCAAGAGAACGCCCTTTGTGGCCGGCAATCCCTTAAGATGCCAATTGAATGTCGGAAGTACAAGAGTATGCGCCGTGAGTCAAGCTGAGTGGCAGTTGCCTACATTCTTTCGACAACCCCAGATCGCCATTGGTTGCTCTAATCAAAGTAGACTCAGCAATTCTTGCAGAGACATGAGCAAGGCTAGGCAGCCTGTTCACGGGTGCTTAAAGGGGCACCAAAGGGAGGTACTTCCCACATGGGAGTTTTCCTTGTTGCGACCTACAATGCACCCCACGAAAAAGAATTGTAGAGGTTAAGGTTGCTTTGCTGTGGCCAGCTGTGTGACATAGTCAGGCCCTCCTTGAGATCGCAAGCACTGCAGAAAGCATTATCCTCATGATATTCTGAGCCTCAGAGAAGAGGGACGCAAACAGCAGAAGACGAGCGCCCCCCACTTCCCACGACTTCCCACTACAGATGCAATGGCCACTGCCAGGCTATTGCAATGAATTATTATTATGCATGATGAGAAGATATGTGGCACAGAAACTTCGGCTTATTCTCCGTCAGGAGGTTATTGTTGCGTTCCGGGGCCGCAAGCCTTTTACAGGTGTCATCCCAGCTGCTTCTAGAGACGCCGGAATTCACGCCTTTCATGATTGGCACTGCAATTCTGAATAGGGACGGTTGAAAGCTGATTCGTGCGATTGGAGCTTATTTGTTTACAGCTTATAAAGGGACAGACCTCCAACTATTGGTAGTATTTGTTAAAATAAATGCGCCTTGAGCGCCTTTCAAGAGGAAGCACAACTAGGTACTAGAAGTGAGTAACTAGTCCATGGTGAGAATCGAAGTCTTCTCAGCTACGGTACTCCGGATACGGTACTCCGGATACGGTACTCCGGCTACGGTACTCCGGAAACTTGCAAATCGACGGCCCTACTTTCGAGTCCATTTACTTACGCAGCAACTTACGATCGTACGGTCGACGGCCAATGCAACATTGCACACGATTCGACTAGGATATTAGGGCGTAACTCAAGGCTAATTACCCCTAATTTCAACACTCCCTCACGCACTGAGTATCCTATGCAATTCCTATCTCCTTCCTACACTTGAAGAACTTCCCCGGAGTCAGCGCCTTGGTCATGATGTCCGCCTTCATGTCCTCCGTCCTGCAATAAGCGAACCCAACCTCCTTGCGTGCCACCCGCTCCCGTGCAAAGTGATGCAACACGTCAATGTGCTTCGACCGCAGTGTTGCGACCGGATGCTTTAGGAGCTGTATTGCCCCTTGGTTGTCGCAGTCGATTGGGACCGTCCCAAGCCCCAACCCCAAGTCTCCCCCGAGCTTGCGAAACCATAGCGCCTCCTTCACCGCCTGCGCCGCGCTCACTGTGTACTCCGCCTCCACCGTGGACACCGCCACCGTCGGCTGCAGACGGCTTGACCAACTCACCGCGCCCCCGTACATCAGGAAGACGTACCCCGTCGTGGAACGCCTCATGTCAACGTCCCCTGCAAAATCCGCATCACAGAACACCTCAAGGAGCTCATCGCTCCCCCCAAAGGTTACTCCGGCCTCCGCCGTCCCCGCCAAATAGCGCACCACCCCGAGCGCCGCCGCCCAATGCGCCTCCGTTGGCGCGCTTGTGTAGCGCGCCAATGCCCCCACGGCCTGAGCAATGTCGGGCCGCGTGCAAACACTCAAATAGAGCAAGCTTCCGATGAGCTCGCTATAGGGGAACTTCGCCGTGTCAAGCGGAGTCCCCTCCCTCGTCAGCTTCCCCGCCGTGCCGAGGGGAACCGAGCGCGGCCGCGCGCCCGCCAACCCGTGTCGTCCAAGGAGCTCCCCCGTCTGCCTCTTCTGCGTCAGCTTCAGAGTGCGCGCCTCCCGGTCGCGCGCCAACTCACTCCCGAGGAAGTAAGTCGCCTCCCCCAAGTCCCTCACGTCGAACGTCCGCGCGAGGTGCGCCTTCACCTTCGCCACGCGGTCCTTCCCACGAATAGCGATGAGGATGTCGTCCACCCAAACGAGAAGGAAGACCTCCTCCCCGTCGACCTCCCCCACGAAAAGCGCCGCGTCCGCAACGGACGCCCCAAACTCAAGCAACCCGAGCTCCTCCTTCAGGCGCAGGTACCATGCCCGCGGTGCCTGGCGCAACCCGTAAAGGGAGCGCTTGAGGAGGCAAACCATCTCCGACCCGCCTTGCTCGTACCCCTGCGGCTGCTGCATGTAGATCGTCTCCTCCAACTCGCCGTTGAGAAACGCCGTCTTGACGTCGAGTTGGTGAAGCTCTAGGTCACGCGCCGCAACCACCGCGAGAAGCGCCCTCAAGCTTGTGTGCTTGCTCACCGGGGCGTAGACCTCCTCGAAGTCAATTCCTTGCTTTTGCAAGTACCCCTTCGCCACCAATCGAAACTTATACCGCTCCACGTTCCCAAGCGCATCCCGCTTAATCTTGTAAACCCACTTCATGGGAAGCGGCTTCACCCCCTCCGGTTTTTCGACGAGCTCCCAAGTCCCGTTCTCCAACAAAGACCGCATCTCCTCGTCCATAGACAACCGCCAGAGCTCACTCTCTTCTCCCCCTACGGCTTCCTGATAGCTTGAGGCTCCGGGTGCTCCCCCGACTCCTTTGGTGGGTTATCCCTAACCCCTTCCGCCGCGAGGTTAACCCTAAAACGCTCCGGCAATCTCCTCTCTCTAGGGGGGTTTTTCCTCGCCCCCAAATCCGCCGGGGTGACCACCGGCTCTTCCACGACTTCGCCGCTCTCATCGGCGCCCTCTGTTAAAACGGACTCCTCGCTCCCGGTGCCGGCCTCCCCCGTAGGAGTAGCTTCTGCACCGGGCTGAGTGCCGGCCTCCCCCGTAGGGGTAGCCCCTGCACCCATCTGAGTCGGGGGGCTCACACGACTAGGGTCGCGAGCACCCCCCTCCTCCTTCCCCGGGACGGAGCCAAGCTCAACGACCCCGGAGGGCCCCCGCTCGTCTACAACGACGTCCCGGGAGACAATCACAACTCCGGTCCTCTCCTTCAAGACCCGATAGGCCTTCGCGTTCGGCTTATACCCTAGGAAGACCCCCCGTTCGCTCACCCGCTCCAACTTCTTCCGGTTTTCCTTAGGGACATGGATGTAGGCCCGCGCCCCAAACACCCGCATGTGGCTAAGGTCCGGCTTCTCCCCATAGAACATCTCGTACGGGGTCTTCCCGTGCACGCTCGAGGGCACCCGATTCCGGGTGTAGTTAGCGGTCACCATCGCTTCCGCCCAATACTCCCCTCCCAAGCCGGCGTCCTCTAGCAAAGCCCGCGCCCTCTCTTCTAGGGTTCGGTTCAACCGCTCCGCCGACCCGTTTTGCTCGGGAGAGTGCCCCGCCGTAGTGCGTTGCACCGTCCCTTTCTTGCCGAGAAAAGGCGTCATCTTCTCGTTGACGTACTCCCCGCCGCCGCGGTCCGTTTGAACCGACTTGACCTTCTTCCCGGATTGTAACTCCAACCGGGCAAACACCCTCTCCGTGGCCTCCGTCACCTCGCTCTTCTTCTTCAACGGTTGCACCACCGAGAGCTTGGTGTAGTCGTCTAGGAAAGTGGCCAACCACCTACACCCCCCGGGCGACGCCACCGGCATGGGCCCGCACACGTCCATGTGCACGAGCTCGAGGGGTTCCGTGCTTCCCTTGGAGTCCGACTCCCTAGGAAACGACTCCCGGGTTTGCTTCCTCATGATGCAAGGTTCACACACCAAGGGTTTCTTCTCCCGAAACGCCTCGGCTTTCACCCCCACACCCCGGACTAGGTCTCCCTCGACCATCTTAGCCAACCCCTCATACCCGGCGTGCCCAAGCCTCCGATGCCACAACTCCGCGCTCTCGGCTTCTCTCACAAGCATGCACGCGTCCACCTCGGGCTCCGCTCAGTTCACACACTTCAAACAAGCCCAACCCTTGCTCCGCACGGAAGATGATCTCACCGTTCAAGAAGCCTTGGCACACGTCCCTCTTGAACCCAAGCACCACGCCGGCGTCGGTAGCTCTCGTCACCGAGAAGAGGTTCTCAACCACGCCGGGGACATACAACACATCAAGAAGAGTGTTGAACCTCACGCCCGTTGGCGTTAGGCACCGCAACTCGACCGTCCCCTCTCCGGCTACGTCTACGTACGTATCGTTTGCTATACGGATCCTCCGCGACCCGGGTTCTAGCATCTTGAGGGTTGTGAACTTCCCCTTGTTCCCGCTCATGTGTTGAGTGGCCCCCGAGTCTAGAACCGTCGCTTCCCCACCCCGGCCCCTACTCCGTCTCCCGCCATGAAGGCGGCCCCGCGGTTGGACCCCGATCCCCCTCCCTTGGGGCAATTCTCGAGGATGTGGTCGGTGCTTCCGCAACCGTAGCACTCGCGTGTAACGATTACGACTGGTTAAGCCTAACCTCGTTCTCGACAGGATTTCGTTGACCTGCGGGTTAGCGAAACGGCGGTGGTTACGTCTTAACGACGCACTGCGTGGCTGTCTGCAAGACGCCGTAATA